AAAACAGTTCACCCCATGACAGTGACAAGATAAGGTGAGATAACATCTGATAAGAGCCGACCTTTGATGAGCGTAAAAGAGGGTGGAGCTGATAAGGAAAGATTAGATGACCATGGCCCTCCCTTTGTTTTTGCTGGTACACAAACATTTCTGTCTGTCTATTTGTCTGTCTGTCAAGCTCCCTGTCTATCGGTCTAGCTCTGTCTCAGAAAGAGCCACAAGACTGCGTCATCAGGAAAGTAGGATGGAAGGAATGATGAGACACGACCATTTACCTAGGAAGAAGTGAATGTTTTCAGATACTTGGGAGTTGACGTGTCGGCGGATGGATTTATGAAGGATGAGGTTAATCATAGAATTGATGAGGGAAAAAAGGTGAGTGGTGCGTTGAGGTATATGTGGAGTCAAAAAATGTTATCTATGGAGGCAAAGAAGGGAATGTATGAAAGTATAGTAGTACCAACACTCTTATATGGGTGTGAAGCTTGGGTGGTAAATGCAGCAGCGAGGAGACGGTTGGAGGCAGTGGAGATGTCCTGTTTAAGGGCAATGTGTGGTGTAAATATTATGCAGAAAATTCGGAGTGTGGAAATTAGGAGAAGGTGTGGAGTTAATAAAAGTATTAGTCAGAGGGCAGAAGAGGGGTTGTTGAGGTGGTTTGGTCATTTAGAGAGAATGGATCAAAGTAGAATGACATGGAAAGCATATAAATCTATAGGGGAAGGAAGGCGGGGTAGGGGTCGTCCTCGAAAGGGTTGGAGAGAGGGGGTAAAGGAGGTTTTGTGGGTAAGGGGCTTGGACTTCCAGCAAGCGTGCGTGAGCGTGTTAGATAGGAGTGAATGGAGACGAATGGTACTTGGGACCTGACGATCTGTTGGAGTGTGAGCAGGGTAATATTTAGTGAAGGGATTCAGGGAAACCGGTTATTTTCATATAGTCGGACTTGAGTCCTGGAAATGGGAAGTACAATGCCTGCACTTTAAAGGAGGGGTTTGGGATATTGGCAGTTTGGAGGGATATGTTGTGTATCTTTATATGTGTATGTTTCTAGACTGTTGTATTCTGAGCACCTCTGCAAAAACAGTGATAATGTGCGAGAGTGGTGAAAGTGTTGAATGATGATGAAAGTATTTTCTTTTTGGGGATTTTCTTTCTTCTTTTGGGTCACCCTGCCTCGGTGGGAGACGGCCGACTTGTTGAAAGGAAAAAAAAAAAAAAAAAAAAAAACTACATAACACAACTGCCTGCTAATACTTTGCAGAAAACTGCTCAGACAAGGTGTTTTGTCTTTGCACATAAAAAAAAGTTCCACAAAAATGCACACAAACTGGTTTTATGTGTGAGGAGTGTAAAACACCATTGTGTATGAAAACATGTTTCAAAGAGTTCCACAAGCTGCAGAACTTCTAGGAATATGTTCAGTGACTGTATATTGGTATATATATTATAGAACAATAGTAATAAACAATTTTTTGTATTGTTTGTTTTTGTAAACAAGTTTTGTAAACAATATATTGATAATTATGTTTGTGTGCTTATTGTGCTGTACACAAAAAGTGTATATATGTACATTGCACTTTACTTTGGTCTCACAGGCCACATAAGTTATGTGAAAAAATAAAATAGTGAAAAAACAAAAAACCTTCAAATACAAGTAAACTAAAGTTTACTGGGTGAGCGGCAGTCGCCGCTGTTGCCATACGCGGCTCATTTTCTGCAAACTTCACAGCTCTATATCTCGGTAAGTAATGATGGCAATTTTTTTTTTTTTTTGGACTAAAACACTCAGAAAAATAATCTTAACATTTTCATAAGAAAAAATAATTTTTTTTTTTTCAAATATTTGGTGACATAGAATGACAGTTTCAGAGAGGGGCCTGAAACAGTCAAAGGGTTAATAAACAAATTATGTCTTGTAGACACAAAAATTATGCAAAACGAATGATATCTCCCTAACCTATTAAAATATCTACATTAGAAATGTGGTGAGAAAAAAACTAAAAGGAAAACATTACAGGAATAAAACATTTAATGGATCTGACGAGTAAAGAGCAGAATCAATAATTCCTCATGGACAAAATCATTACTTACAAAATTGTAATAACACAATTGCAAACAAACCAGGGAATGGGTGGGGTTTGAACAAAGGCAAGTGTGTCCTAAAACTCACAGGCCAGTGCATTAACCACTCGGCCTGCTGGTTCTAATAAGATTCATCCAACTAGATATATTTCCCTATGGTGCACAAAAATGTACAAGTACCTAGTTGGATGAATCTTATTACAGCCAGCTGGCCGAGTGGTTAACATTCAGACCTGCAAGTTTTAGGACACTCTTGCAGTGGTTTCAATCCCACCCATTCCATGGTTTGTTTGGATAAAGTCATGTTCTCACAACTATGATTCAATTCAAATCTTTACCTCTACCCTTACTCCCAATAATATTACGTTAACTCAAATGTTTAGTTACCTTTTGCTGTGTAAAAAAGCATTACAAGTACCTGCGTGGTATCCTTAACAGAGGGAGCAGTGGACAGCCCAGTCAGAGGCTTAGGGGTTGATATGGAGACCAGAGGTGAATGACTAGAGGCATTAACATAGCTGTTCTGGTACTGGCTACTACTGTTGCCTGCACCTGTGGCCTGGTGAAATATAAATGAATAAGGCTTTTAATATCTAAAATTAAGTAGGGATTATAAAAGAATAATGAAGAAATTAGCCAAAGTAAGTTGGAAAGAAATAGGGTGCTATGAAATGATTTAGTGGTAAAGCAAGGTACAGAAGTGGTGTGATTATAAAAATTATATACTACATATAGAAAGAAAAACTTGCCATATCTTTATTTTTTAAATTAATACACTAATGCCATTGCTAAATTATTTCTTATGTATCCTAATGCAGTAATGTACAAACTAAGTGTTTTAGGGTCCACCCTCACTCAATATAAATAGAAGATTGTAAAGGACACCTAAACATGAGGTTCTAGCTATTGCTCTATAACAACTAAAAATGCTAAAAATCAGCTTATTTTAGGGCCTGTTTTCTCTCTTCAAGGAGAAAACACCTGTCCAGAAAATAGATATCTTGTAGTTTAGAATCTGCTTTCTAATGAAGATTTCTTTTAAGAAAATTGTTTGTGCTGCTTTTTTGCCACTGATCTTCAGAGAGAGTATAAAATTCACCATGAGCTCTGCGAGACATTTTTAGCTACCATTAGCACAAGAACTAAAAACGTTTGGAGTCTGATATTTTAGGATTCTTCTTTCAACACACCAACTGTATCCCATCAAGGGGATTGTGACGATGTCCACTTGGGTAGCTGGCTACAATAATGTCACACAGATTTTTTTTGCCTAATTTGGCTTCTTAATGTGAAAAAAGTAGAAGCAATAAGTTTCAGGACTGTGATTTTTTTTAAATTAGCTCCAAAAGTTGTATAAGCATTTCTATTTACACAACTTTTACTCTTCTACATCAGCCACAGCAGTAACCTGAACATTGTTGGTTGTGTGCTGAGGGTTGGTAAAATTTTCACAGGCCTCCACTGAGGGCCATAACATTACTACTATTGCATATCATGAACTAAAGCTTTTCCATAGTATGGCATATATGCCAACCTTCATGTAAAATTTTATCAAAATAGGTCAGGTGGACACCCCTGGTTCATTTAACATGGAATGACTCACAGGCAAGTATATTACACACCATCACATGCAACTCAGGGATTCAACAACCTGATGAGCTTGATTTTGATGTTGTAAAGCAACTGCAGCCAGTATTCCCAACAGCAACATATCACAGATATTTGCCTTGGGATCATTTTCTAAATTACAAAGGCAGTATTCAAAAACAAATGCAATGGTGTTATTACCAGAAACAAAAACAGAAACAAACAAATATATGGCAATGACATTATTGCCTAAATAAGGAAATCCACTAAATTGGTGGAAAGAAAATATGACAGCTCTTCCATCTCTGGCAAACCTAGCCAGTAAATATCCGAATTCAACCCTCCCCCCTTCCCACTTCAAAGGAATAAATTAACCTCCAGAAATGGGGAGATGTTATTCCTGGGTTTCAATTTGAGAATTCTTAGTTTTCTATTAACCTTTTCATTGTCCAGACCCCCAATCTGAAACTTGTCCACAGCGTCCAAGAATTTAAAATAAAAAAAAATTATTCCTTATAAAATAGACGAGAATCTTTTTCTGAATGTAATAAAAAGTAAGAAATTTGATGAAAAATTGACGAAATTATACTTTCACAACTTTTGCTGCATCAGCAATATTTATGTACCGGAGATTTTGCCCACTTTGAGTCTTATTTTAGGTCAATTATATTGTTTCAGTACATCAAATTCTTAGCTATTTTGCTAGTGTGTCTTCCATTTTATCGAGTGAGCACAAGAAATGACCCAATCACCTATTTCAACTACCCAATAAAGTGATCAGAAATTGATAATTTGGTCAATTTCATACAAATTTCAAAATATGCCAATTTCAAAATAGGGTACAAAATAAACACTGCAGGCATTCCTGGTACTAAAATAATATTTCCTCTGCTCATTAGTTACATTCCCAAGCTTTACATTTGAATTCCATTTTGATTTTTTATTCACACAAAAAAACTAGAATATTTACTGTTATACAATATTGTACTAATTGAATAAATAATATAAATGCATTTGTGAATGCATATTAGATCCACCAGCTGAACGTGTATTGAATGAATGGAGTAATTTGTGTACTCTGGAACATCGGCAAAAATCAAACATTTCCACTACTTTGAGCTCAGTTTCAAGTTACTTTCAGTCCTGAAACCAATCAAAATCATCTCTATTTTTGTAATATATCTTTCATCCTACCAAATGCGACCAAAAAACTGAGAATACAATCATAAACCATATGAAAATACACCACAAATTTGCTATTTTGAACCAAAAATAGGGTTGCAGTTTTTTCCTCATTATACACTGGATGAAGCAGGATTTTGTTTATATGGTGCAAACTTACTGCATAGACCAATTCTCTTATATTTAGGCCCAAATTTACTGCACACAGCTTATGAGTAAGCTGAGCTCATCACATATTTCTACGGCACTGACCTATAGCTCAAAGCTGTAGTACTATGGCACAGACCTAGAAAGGGTTAATAGTTCTTATACTCGTAATTTTTTTTTAACACGTCAGTCGTCTCCCACCGAGGCAGGGTGACCCAAAAATGAAAAACGCTTTCACCATCATTCACACAATCACTGTCTTTGCAGAGGCACCCAGATACAACAGTTTAGATGTCACTCCAAACTGCCAATATCCCAAACCCCTCCTTTAAAGTGCAGGCATTGTACTTCCCAACTCCAGAACTCAAGTCCAGCTAACCAGTTTCCCTAAATCCCTTCACAAAATATTACCCTGTTCACACTCCAACAGCTCAAGAGGTCCCAAAATCCATTCATCGCCATTCACTATCTAAAATTTAAAATTTAGGAGGCCTGGTCAAAGTAGGAAAAGCCCCAATGATTCCCATGGAGAACAGAAAGTCATAATTGCAGAGAAAAAAAAAAGTGCCAAAAAAACATTTTTCACAATGACAAAACTTCGAAAAGGATTCAAGAGATGAAAGTGCCCCAAGCTCTAGAATATATTTTGAAATTATTGTAGATTAAACAGCAAAGATTAGATATGAGCAAAGCTCTGCTCTTGTAGTCATAAAATGGTAATCACAAATGTATCATACAGGGTACAGTGCATTAAAAGCTTTTCTTTACTTGGATCCAACCATATATTTTGATGATTTTGGGGGGAAAATTTTATGAAAGCATTACTGAAATCCACCAATCTTTTTCACAGAATATAATAGGTAATTAAGCAAATTGTAATACATAATCAAAATAAGTAAATCAATGAAGCACATTTACCAGTATATGATGTCCAGAAGCATCTGTAACAAAACAGAAGATTTACCTGAACCATTCTTATACAGTAATAAAAAATAATCACATTCTAGGCCTACAGAATGAACCACAACAAACTACATGCTGCTACTGTAGACCACATTGTGAAAAACAGTAAATTTATTGAAATATAACGTAGTAGTCACTTACAGGCTGATACTCGATGTAAAAAAAAGTTTTGGAAATTAAATAGAAAAACTAATACACTATTGCCAAATCAGTGGGGTACTGTACTTAATTATTATGATCTGATTTTACCTTATATTACATGAAAACCTGAGATAAAGTTAAAACCAGATATTTTCAAACTTACCTGAGCAGAAAAGCTTGATCCATAGCCTCCTGGAGTCTGGCTACTGTTGGTACTGCTATTACTGTTAGTGCCTCCTGTTCCGCTATTAGCATTACTGTAGCCACTGTTGTTGCTATTACTAGTCCCACTGTTTCCTTGCTGACCACTAGTTGTGTAAGAATTCTGAAGAAAAACATCACCTGATTATGTCGATGAATTCTTAAAAGAAAAATAAAATGCATGAGAAAATTTATTTCATTTCACAGGTTGCAAATACTTTCAATGTCAACGTATTTCGGTCAAAGATAAACTCCCAGAATTTGCATTAAAATCTCTAGTTAACATTACAATTAAAACGTTTGACGCCTTATTTCCAAGAATAATTCCTCCACTCTGATGAGATGGGTACGTGGAGAATCTGCTCTAAGCATTTTAGCCACTATTAATTATGTGATACATTGATTATACTAGGGGTGTGCCAAAGTATCGGTATCAGTGGGTATCGGCCAATTTTTATGGGATCACTATCTGTATCAGTACCAGTATTGGTGGGAATCAGCAAAATTTGGTGGGACTGGCATTGGTATAAATTGAGTATTAGTTTTTTTTTTTTTTTCAACAAGTCGGCCGTCTCCCACCGAGGCAGGGTGACCCAAAAAAAGAAAGAAAATCCCCAAAAAGAAAATACTTTCATCATCATTCAATACTTTCACCACACTCACAAATTATCACTGTTTTTGCAGAGGTGCTCAGAATACAACAGTTTAGAAGCATATACGTATAAAGATACACAACATATCCCTCCAAACTGCCAATATCCCAAACCCCTCCTTTAAAGTGCAGGTATTGTACTTCCCATTTCCAGGACTCAAGTCCGACTATATGAAAATAACCGGTTTCCCTGAATCCCTTCACTAAATATTACCCTGCTCATACTCCAACAGATCGTCAGGTCCCAAGTACCATTCGTCTCCATTCACTCCTATCTAACACGCTCATGCACGCTTGCTGGAAGTCCAAGCCCCTTGCCCACAAAACCTCCTTTACCCCCTCTTTCCAACCCTTTCGAGGACGACCCCTACCCCTCTTTCCTTCCCCTATAGATTTATATGCTTTCCATGTCATTCTACTTTGATCCATTCTCTTTAAATGATCAAACCACCTCAACAACCCCTCTTCTGCCCTCTGACTAATGCTTTTAACTCCACCCCTTCTCCTAATTTCCACACTCCGAATTTTCTGCATAACATTTACACCACACATTGCCCTTGGACAGGACATCTCCACTGCCTCCAACTGTCTCCTCGCTGCTGCATTTACCACCCAAGTTTCACATCCATATAAGAGTGTTGGTACTACTATACTTTCATACATTCCCTTCTTTGCCTCCATAGATAACGTTTTTTGAATCCACATATACCTCAACGCACCACTCACCTTTTTTCCCTCATCAATTCTATGATTAACCTCATCCTTCATAAATTCATCCGCCGACACGTCAACTCCCAAGTATCTGAAAACATTCACTTCTTCCATACTCCTCCTCCCCAATTTGATATCCAATTTTTCTTTATCTAAATCATTTGATACCCTCATCAACTTACTCTTTTCTATGTTCACTTTCAACTTTCTACCTTTACACACATTCTCAAACTCATCCACTAACCTTTGCAATCTTTCTTTAGAATCTCCCATAAGCACAGTATCATCAGCAAAAAGTAACTCTGTCAATTCCCATTTTGAATTTGATTCCCCATAATTTAATCCCACCCCTCTCCCGAACACCTTAGCATTTACTTATTTTACAACCCCATCTATAAATATATTAAACAACCATGGTGACATTACACATCTCTGTCTAAGATCTACTTTTACCGGGAAGTATTCTCCCTCTCTTCTACACACTCTAACCTGAGCCTCACTATCCTCATAAAAGCTCTTTACAGCATTTAGTAACTTACCACCTATTCCATATACTTGCAACATCTGCCACATTGCTCCACTATCCACTCTATCATATGCCTTTTCTAAATCCATAAATGCAATAAAAACTTCCCTACCTTTATCTAAATACTGTTCACATATATGCTTTAACGTATCAGCAACAAAAAAACTGGCATTAACCCTAAATCATACAACCTATGCGTAGCGATGATGAATGACAAAGTAATTTACCAGAATTATGCATTATTATATATACATGTAGTATATATATTTTTTAACACGTCGGCCATTTCCTACCAAGGCAGGGTGACCCAAAAGAAAGAAAAAAAACTTTCATTATCAGTCAATACTTTCACCATCACTCATACAAAATCATTGTCTTTGCAGAGGCACCCAGATAGTCACTCCAAACTGCCAATATCCCAAACCCCTCCTTTAAAGTGCAGGCATTGTACTTCCCATTTCTAGGACTCAAAGTCCGGCTAACCGGTTTCCATGAATCCCTTAACAAAATATTACCCTGTTCACACTCCATCAGCTCGTCAGGTCCCAAAAACCATTCGTCTTCATTCACTCCTATCTAACATGCTCACACATGCTTGCTGGAAATCCAAGCCCCTCACCCACAAAACCTCCTGTAACCCCCCTCCAACCTTTTCGAGGATGACCCCTACCCTGCCTTCCTTCCCCAACAGATTTATACATTCTCCAAGTCATTCTATTTTGTTCCATTCTCTCTAAATGACCAAACCACCTCAACAACCCCTCTTCAGTCATCTAATACTTTTAGTAACTGCATGGCACCTCCTAATTTCTACACTATGAATTCTCTGCATAATATTTACATCACACATTGCCCTTAGATACATCATCTCCACTGCCTCCAGCCTCCTCCTTGCTGCAACATTCACAACACATACTTCACACCCATATAAGTATTGGTACTATTATACTCTTACATTCTTTTTTGCCTCCACGGAAAACATTCTTTGTCTCCCCAGATACCTCAATGCACCACCCACCTTTTTTTTTACTTCATCAATTCTATGGTTTACCTTATCCTTCATAAACCCAACACCTAACAAGTTACTCCCAAATATCTGAACACATTCACTTCCATATTCCCTCCCTTCAATCTTATATCCAATTTTTCTATATCTAATTGTTTGATACCCTCATCACCTTACTCTTATCTATGTTCACTTTCCACTTTCTACCTTTACACACTCTCCAAAACTCACCCACTAACCTTTGCAACTTCTCTTTAGAATCTCCCAAAAGCAAAGTATCATCAGCAAAAAGTAACTGTCAACTCCCAATTTGTATTTGGTTCCCCATAATTCAATCCCACCCCTCTTCCCAACACCCCTAGTATTTACTTCTTTCACAACCCCATCTATAAACACGTACGCTAAACAACCATGGTGACATTACACATCCCTGTCCAGGGCATACTTTTACTGGAAAGTAATCTTTTCCTCTCCTACACACCCGAAGCTGAGCCTCACTATTCTCATAAAAACTTTTTACAGCATTTAGTAACTTACTACCTATTCCATACACTTGCAACATCTGCCACATTGCTCCCCTATCCACCCCATCATATGCCTTTCCTAAATCAACATATAAATGATAAAACTGGAGGGAGGGGGTACAAGAGGCTTTGAGTTTTAAGGACCTGAGCATCCTACTGGATGCTCAAGTCCCTAGGTATACAGTACAGTACTTTAACCCTTTCAGGGTTGGTGGCGTACTAGTACGGCTTGCACGTCAGGGTTGGTGCCGTACTAGTATGCATAAATTCTAGCACCTTCAAATCTAGCGAGAGAAAGCTGGTAAGGCCTACATATGAAAGAATGGGTCTATGTGGTCAGTGTGCACGGTATAAAAAAAATCCTGCAGCACACAGCGCATAATGAAAAAAAAATAACTCCGACTGTGTTTTTGCTTTAAAACAATGACTTTGCAGTGTATTTTTGTATGCTATTTATGGTTGTATTCTAGTTTTCCTGGTCTCATTGTATAGAATGGAAGACATATTATGGAAATTGAGATGATTTTGATTGGTTTCACAATGAAAAGTACCTTGAAATTGAGCTCCAAGTAGCAGAAACGTTCTATTTTTGCCAAAGCTCAAAGGTAAACAAATCATGCCACGTGTCCAATACACGTCAACTGGTGAGTGTAATATACTTTCACAAGTGCCCTGATATTATTTAAACCATTTCTACACCATTTCTACACGAATGCAGTAGTCTGCATAACATAAATCTTCTATTTTTTACGACAATAAAAATTCAAAGTGGAAAGCAAAAGAAATGTAACCGAGGCCTGGGGACATGAGTAATGAACAGGGGAAATGTTATTTTAGTGCCAGAAATGTCTGTCTTGTTTATTCTGGACCCTATTTGGAGGTACTACTGTCCTGCCAAGTGAGTGTAAAACGAAAGCTGTATTTGTTTTACATGATGGTAGGATTGCTGGTGTTCTTTTTTGTCTCAAACATGCAAGATTTCAGGTACGTCTTGCTACTTTTACTTACACTTAGGTCACACTACATATACATGTACAAGCATATATATACACACACACACCCCTCTGGGTTTTCTGCTATTATCTTTCTAGTTCTTGTTCTTGTTTATTTCCTCTTATCACCATGGGAAAGTGGAACAGAATTCTTCCTCCATAAGCCATGCATGTTGTAAGAGGCGACTAAAATGCCGGGAGCAAGGGGTTAGTAACCCCTTCTCCCGTATAAATTACTATGTTTAAAAAGAGAAACTTTTGTTTTTCTTTTTGGGTCGCCCTGCCTCGGTGAGATACGGCCGGTTTGTTGAAAGAAGAAGAAAGGATTGCTGGTGTCTTTTTTTCTGTCTCATAAACATGTAAGATTTCAGGTACGTCATGCTACTTCTTCTTACACTTAGGCCACACTAAACACACATGTACAAGCGTATACATGCACTCCCCTCCGGGTTTTCTTCTATTTTCTTTTTAGTTCTTGTTCTTGTTTATTTCCTCTTATTGCCATGGGAAAGTGGAACAGAATTCTTCCTCCGTAAGCCATGCGTGTCGTAAGAGGCGACTAAAATGCCAGGAGCAAGGGGCTAGTAACCCCTTCTCCTGTATATATTACTAAATTTGAAAGGAGAAACTTTCGTTTTTCCTTTTGGGCTACCCCACCTCGGTGGGATACGGCTAGTACATTGAAAGAAGGAGCACTATAAACAATGGAATAA